GGAAGGCTGCTTTCTAGTGTTTTCCATTACCCCAAATGTACCCTTAATATAAAAGTGCAAGTTGGGCCTAGGAGCAGCGTGTGTTATAGAGGTTTATAACACAGTAGCAAGTGTCACCAGTGGTTATAAGCATTCTATTGCAGTCTATAGTCATTAATTAATCTTTTATGCATCCTTTGTAAGTGTGTTCTTGAAGTCAAGTGTGACCAGGATGAGAGGCAGAAGTATTCATAGTCATCCAAGGAAATCTGCTCTTCAGAGAAATTCTTGGCTTTGTTTACAGATTTAAACCTCTCAGATAAACAGAAGCACTTGAGATGGAGCTCCTCTACTCAGACAACAGATGGCAGCTGGCAGGGTCAAGGGCTTTGGAATATGTTAATCTCCTCCTCTTTGGTCCACAAGGATCTGGAGCTATCTAGGTCTGCCTGAGAGCTCGCATTTGGGGGAGGTGGCTTATGGGCAGTGGGTGGGTAGATGAGGTAGAATTGGGGGCTGAGCAAGGAATTCATATAAAGCAAGTTGGTTTGTGTTGTTAGAATTTGAGTATTGAATACATTGAGCAGAAGTGTTAGGCTACGTCTAGACCGCAGAGTGAAATTGGCAAAAGATACGCAATTTGCGTACCACAAATCTTCCGATTTACTCTTGAAAGAGGCTTCTCTGAAATTTGGCAAATCTCTATGGCGCCAAATTTTGAGGAAAAAAATGCTCTTTCGACATAGCCCTTATGCCTCATAGAACGAGGTTTACAGGGATGGTGAAGGAGCACGTCCGTTTTTTGAAAAAAAAATTCAGAAAAGCAGATGCGTTGGATGCAGCATTGCTTTTCCGGCATACCTCCGGTACTCCAGAAAAGCAATGCAGTCTAGACATAGCCTTAGAGAGAAACAGTGGAGCAGGTGACATCTTTTACTGGACCAACATCTGTTGGTGAGAGACAAGTTTTTGAGCCACACCGAGCTCTTCTTCAGCATGGCTTCTTCTGGAATGGCTACAACTTCACTGCATGTGTAAGTAGAAGTTGTCATTAAGGGACAGAATTGGATCCCTTTATATTTCATAGCACTTTGCTCCTCACAGAGCACCTCCAAAAGAAACAGGAATGCTCAGTGAGCATAAATCTGTCTCTAAATGATGTCTCAATGTTGTGCACCATGGGCTATATCAGGGGTGGGCAATTAGGGCAGCAGCAGGCAGCGGGGCAGAATGGACAAGGCTTTGCACGCTCCCCTGCCCCCAGGCCTTAATTGGCCTGGGGGGCGGGGGAGTGCACAAAGCCTCCTCCAGACCTGTCAGGAGCAGGTGGCACTTTGAAGCGCCGGGCGCTGCTCGCAGGGCAGGGGACAGAGCAGAGGAGGCTTCGTGCGCTCTCCCGCCCCCAGGCCAATCAGGAGGGTGTGCCACGTGCTCTTCGCAGGGTGGGAGGAGGCTTCCCACGCTCCCTAGCCCCCAGACCCTGATTGGCCCGGGGGTGGGGAAGCGTGCCAAGCCTCTTCAAGGGCATGGGTGCCTAGTGGGAAGGGGGTCAAACAGGCTTTCTTAGACGGGATTCAAGATGGTATAGCTCTCCTTTTGGGGAAAAGAGAAGAAGTTAGCTGGTTGAAAGGGGCTGGAGCTGTTTCCATTGCTGCTGCTGCTGCTGTTAAAGTTCAATTTCTTCCAGAGGCATGCTTGGGATTCATCTGTTTGGGATCGCTCTCTTTTGTCCCAGATGGCAAGGATAGCTCTCAGGATTGGGACAAAGAAGGTCCAGAGTCAAGATAGTGAGGGTAGCAACACATTCACGACAGTAGGCTCTGTGGGCACATCAACACAGCAGCATTATTTCAGAACAACTTGCATGATTTCAAAATAACAAAGTGAGGGTTTACACAGCAAGCCCATTGTTTTGAAATAATTTCTTATTTCATCTTATTCTGAATTCTGTAACCCTCATTTTTTGAGGAATAGCACCCATTTTGAAATAAGTGGCCTCCAGGGCTTCCCACGGGTGCCCTGGTGGCCACTCTGTCCATACTCATCAGGACTATATAGTTCTCCTTCCCCTGCAGCCCTTAAAGCCACAGGCACAGGGGAAATAGTTGGGGCATGACGCGAGCCCTACTAGTACCATGCCACACAGCAGCGCCTACCTCTGCCTTCCCTGCTGCTATGGCAGACCCCAGCATGTCACCTGAGCCCCCCACAGCTGCTGGCACAGCTGCAGGCAGCTTCCAAGCCCCTGCCAGGGGCGGAGGCAGCGGGCCCCATTCTGGATTCTTGCGGAGATCCTGGATTTGGGGAGAAATGCCGACATCTTTGGCCAGATGGTTGACAGCCTGGACCAGAGGGGGCACATGTGCACCCAGGAGCAGGTGTGCCTGAAAGTCAAGGAGCTCAGGCAGGCCTAACTCCTGCCTGAGTTAGCTCAGCTCCTGCTCACGGGTGGCACCCCAGACCAGCTCCACTGCATCCTGGGTTGGGTATCAGTCCCCCCTCCTTGTTTTGGACTTTGGATGGGAGATGTCCATCGTCAGATCCAGTCCTAACCAACTGGTAGCCCCGGCTCTCCAGTAGGGTTGCCAGATGGTTTAAAAAAAAATACTGGGCAAAAATTTGTCGAGCAACAACAGCAAAAAAAGGACACCTGGGGAGGGACCAAAATGCAGTCACAGCCCGCCCCTAAGACTGGCTCTGTCGACAGCCCCTTGAAAATGGCAACCCGGGGCAACCGCCTGGCTTGCCCACCCCTAAGACCAGCTCTGCAGGCCAAAGATGAGAAGGAGGAGGAGGAGGAGACCAGTGAATCCACAATGCCCAATGGCCAGGAACTCAGCCAGTTTCTGGAGCTGGTACCACCCTCCCACGATGTCGCCCATGGATCAGACTGAGTTCCATTATTTTTCCTAGACACACATGGGGGTGGGGTGAAGCTCCTATTTCGGCCTTCTCGGCCTGCAGATTGTACAGCAGCCTGTGTGTGTGGATGCACGTGGAGCGCCCATCCAGAGCAGACAGGCCCAATGAGGCTGCCTCAGAGGACCCTTGTGCTCCTGCTCACAGGTTTTCTGGAGAGGCCTCCCAACTCTGTGGTGGGACGCCCTCCCACCAGACGCCACCACTAAGGAGGACGGGCTCATGGACACACACACAGCAGTGCTACGCATAGCACATGGCCATGCCCACTCTCTCAGTGCAGCCTGCATTTGCAGACGGGCATGGCGAGGCAGAGGACACCAAGAGCCCCTGCTAGGGGAGCCTTCTGGGATGAGAAGGAAGTGGAGGGGACCCAAGTAGCACCCCGTCTGGCAAGCAGCATCTGCTGCTCACACACACCTCCCTCAACACTCTCCCTTCCCCCTTCCAAGGGGCAGGCTAGTAGTTATTTCCTTGCGGGATGCCGCCACTACCAGACCTAGTGTGTGCACAGCATGCAGGGAAGCAGATCTGCCCCATCATCCCCCACCTGCCTGGCTCCACCAGCACCTTCCCATGCCTGCTTGTCCCCTGGATATGGGAGTAGCGAGGCACACCCCCCTCCTTGGGGATATCTGTGCCCCTGCAGGAAGGGGCCTACTGTGTAGACCACAAATGGCCTTGCTCCAAGCACATCATCTTCGTCTGACCGGAGACTTTTCAGTGCCACCTCAGAGATGAGGGCTAGGCTTCATGTACCCTGTCTCCTGGGATGACTGCCCATCTGTTTGTTCTTCACAGCTGGACCAGCTATGACTGAGGTACCCGCAACACCTCCTGCACCAACCTCCTGACCTCATGGGAGTCCCTGCTGCAGATAAGCCCATGAGGGCCTGGAGCAGGAGCATGTTGCCTGTCTGCATGGCCTCCAGCGGTCTCTGGGGCGGCAGGACCAGCTGTGGGAAGTAGACCAGGAGCTGTACCTCACCACCTGGCGGGAACTGACACAAGAGACCCAAGGCCAGTGTTCCCTCTAAGCGGGGTGGCAGCAGCTTCACAGGTGATTCATCAGCCCTGCCCAGTCAGAGGCTCAGGGCTCTGTTCAGGGAGCTGACTGACTGGGTAGGGATGATGAATCACCTGTGAAGCTGTGCTGCCAAGCAGCGTAGAGGGAACACTGCCTGCAGCGTGTGTGCGGCATACACAGCCGCCCTCGACTGCCTGATCGTAGCCACTGAGCAGTTGTGCAGCTGCTCTCCCACTTCCTCTCCTGCCCCTCTGGCTTCTCCCTCTGCCCCCCGCCAGGACTGCCAAGGCCCTGTACATGAGGTAGTGGGACCACCTGAGGCAGGCACCACTCCTGAGTCAGGTGCCACATAAGCTAGCCCCATCGCTGAGCCTCTACTCTCCTCTTCTCTCTTCCTCCCCCCTCCTCCTCACTCCCAGGTTCTTTCCCCAGTCCCTCCCCAGTCACAATTACTCCAGTTAAACAAAAAATAGATTTGCTTGGTTCAAAGCAAAAGGTCTAGTTTATTTTATCAAAGGAGAAGGGGAGGAGGAAGGATGCCAGGGAAGGCAGGAGTGTGGAAGAAAAGGCACAGAGGGGCAATGCACAGGCCCATTGTGGGGAGGCACAGAGGAGAACCTTATCGGTGTTCTTGTCTGAAATTCTCCCTCAGGGCCTCCCGGATGTGCATAGCCCCCTACTAGGCCTGCTGGATGGCAGCCATGCATAGCTGCTCAAATGTCCTGGCAAGCTGCTAGGCCTCTGCCTCCCACCCGGGAAGGAATGTCTCCCCCTCATTCTCACAAACATTGTGAAGGACACAGCAGGCTGCCACCACTTGGGGGACATTCTGCTCACTGAGGCCCAGGAGGGTTAGGAGGCACCAGAACCTCCCTTTGAGATGCCCAAAGATGCCCTCTACCACAATGAAGGCCCTGCTGAGCCTGGTGTTGAACCATTCCTTGATTTGGTGAAGGTGTCCTGTGTAGGGCTTCATAAGCCACGGGAGCAGAGAGTAGGCAGCATCCCCCACGAAGCACATCGGCATGTCCATGTCCCTGACCCCGATGGTGCGGTTGGAGAAAAAAGTGCCAGCTTGCATCTTTTGGAAGAGGCTGGAGTTCCTGAAGATGCAGGCATCATGAGCCTTCCCTGACCACCCGTGATGTCAGTGAACTGACCTCATTGGTCCACAATGGCCTGCAAGACCATGGAAAAGTACCCCTTCCAGTTCATGTAGTCGGCTGCTCGGTGGTCAGGGTACTGCTGAGGATGTGGGTGCTGTCAATGGCCTCCACCACAACTGAGGAAACCCATATCACTCTGGAGGATGATCTGGCAGAGCAGGATGGTGCTGATGGCCCTCACCACCTGCAGAACATAAGAACGGCCATACTAGGTCAGACCAAAGGTCCATACAGCCCAGTATCCTGTCTGTGGACAGTGGCCAATGCCATGTGCCCCAGAGGGAGTGAATCGAACAGGTAATGATAAAGCGATCTCTCTCCTGCCATCCATCTTCACCCTCTGACAAACAGAGGCTAGGGACACCATTCCTTACCCATACTGGCTAATAGCCATTTATGGACTTAACCTCCATGAATTTATCTAGTTCTCTTTTAAGCCCTGTTATAGTCCTAGCCTTCACAACCTCCTCAGGCAAGGAGTTCCACAGCTTGACTATGCACTCTGGGAAGAAGAACTTCCTTTTGTTTGTTTTAAACATGCTGCCCATTAGTTTCATTTGGTGGCCCCTAGTTCTTATATTATGGGATATGGGAAATAACTTTTCCTTATTCACTTTCTCCACACCACTCATGATTTTATATACCTCTATCATATCCCCCCTTAGTGTCCTCTTTTCCAAGCGGAAAAGTTCTTTATTTTGATAGCCTCTCTAAGCTCCCTTAGCATTTCATAGTAACTATTACTGTCCTGATCAGGTGGTCGATAATAGATCCCTACTGTTATATTCTTATTAGAGCAGGGAATTACTATCCACAGCGATTCTATGGAACATGTTGATTCATTTAAGATTTTTACTTCATTTGATTCTCCACTCCCTCACCCGCATGACCTGTTTTGTACCCCGGAATGATTGTGTCCCATTGAGTGTCCTCACTCCACCAGGTTTCTGTGATGCCTGTTATATTAGTATCCTCCTTTAACACGAGGCACGCTAGTTCACCCATCTTATTTTTTAGACTTCTAGCATTTGTGTACAAGCACTTTAAAAACTTGTCACTGTTTATTTGTCTGCACTTTTCTGATGTGGAGACAAACAGGGAAGGGGGACTGTGCCACATGAGCAACATGTGGAGAAAAAAGAAGAGGAACCCTGCAATGAGCTGGGGGTTCAGATTCTGCAGTGCCATGAGAGCAGCCTACAAAAACTGCACCATGAGGTACAGCATGAGGTTCAGGAGCTGGAGACTCCTTGGCAGCAGGACTTGCTCCATGGTGGGCATGCTGTAGTGTCTGTAAAGGAAACCAGAGCAGGCAGTGAGAAGGCTTTGCTGTCCCTCAAGGAGGTAGGCAAAACAGAGGAGCCTTAGTCATGACTGTACAGGCGGGTCCTTTTAAGCACACGTCTCAGATAGCTTCAGGAAATAGCTACAGGAAGTAACTACTTTCCTGATGTCCTTCTCAAAGTGCTTCTGGGAGGGCTTTGAATATGATTGAGGCGCCAATCAGTGTAGATGCTCTGTTTTGAAATAGCTCAGCGCTATTTTGATGGGTATCTGCAGTGTAGCCATGCTATTTCTAAATAAGCTATTTTGGCATTTTTATTCTGAAACTAGCCAATTAGCCCATCATAGGACGGGACTGGTCTATCCTCCACGTCAGTCTTCTCTCTTGAGCCTTCGGTCTCTCGCTCTGTGTCTCTTTCTCCTCCTCCTTCTGCCTCCCCCTCTCTCTCTCAGCTCTCCTTCTGCCTCGCTCTCTTTCTCTTCTCCCCCTCCTGCCTCTCACTCTCTCTCTCTGCTCTCCTCTGTCTCTGTCGGGGATGCATGCTCATCCAGGCCCCACCCCCTGGGTGAGTACGTCACCACCCCGCCCCCCTTTGCCTCCCGCTATGGTGCTTGGCTGACTTCTGCGCCACTCAGTTGGGCCGCCACGTGGGAGCAAGCGGCGCAAATGGCCTCTCTCTCTCTTCTCCTCCTACTGCCTCGCCCTTGCTCTGGCTCAGCTCTTGTCCACCTCCTGCCTCTCTCTCTGTCTCTCTCTTTCTCTTTTCCCCCTCCCGCCTCTCACCCCTGAGCTGCATGGGGAGTGCGAACCCCAAACGGCCGCTTGCGCTGCTTACTTCTGCGCAGCGGCCTGGCTGAGCAGCACAGAAGTCAGCCAAGCACCACGGCGGGAGGCAACAGCGCTGCCCAGAGGAAACAGCCAGAGTTTCAGCGTTACAGAGTCACAGACATTGGGCTACTATAAATATGATGTATAACGCTGCTATGTAGACATACCCTGTGTTCTTACTGTTTTCTCCCTTATAGGTCCAAAAGTCTTTCTTTAAGGACCTAAAATGGGAGTGGCAAGTAGAATTACCCATCCCCTCAGTGTTGAGGGGTTCCATACACCTACTTTGGTTAATTAACTTCTGGTTTCATATCAACTGTTTTTAACAAGCATCATTTCGTTAGCCCTTGGATTATATTAATGGCACCTTTTTGGTGTAGACTAATCTAATTTAGCTGCCTGGCACTTTTACATTTCTTTATAACATTCTTTACTGAAAATAACTTGTCCTATTTTCCACGGTAAATTTCTAAGCAAGCAAACTTAAAAACCAATTCTCACAATAGCATCCTGCAGCTTAATGGATTTCACAGCCTCAAGTTAGGTGCCCAATGAATGGGGAGAGTTAGCCCCTCTTCCCCCCAAAGAGACTCCCAAAAGTAGTGTTCCCCGTAAGTAGAGTGCTTTCGTGCAACTGCTCAGGAAAGATTCAAATGCTGCCTAGCTGATTAGCAGAGCACCCACAGCTGGGTTTTGTTTCTATTCATGCCTCGGTGCACATAAACAAATTTATTCCATGCATGAATGGAAAAAAATCTGCACATGGATGGAAAACATTAGAGGGAACATTGCCCAAAGCCACTTATTGGGGAGCTTCCTAAGCTAGGCAGTAGACAATGCCAAGGAAAGTGGTTATGAGCTAAACTGGCTCTGCAAAGGGAGATAGGTGCCTATCTCCAGACCAAGGAAGGCACCTCCTTCCTTTTAGAACTGACAGTCATATATCCTTTCTCTCCTGGTGTTAGGTGCCTAAACCAGGTCAGATCTGTCTCATACAAACAGACCGTGGTGGCTCTCTTTCCTGCCCTCCCTTACCTTCCCCTCCCCCTGCGCTGTACCCTAGGCTATGTCTAGACTACAGGCTTCTTTCAGAAGAACCTTTTTTTGGAAGAGATCTTCCAAAAAAACTTCTTCTGAAAGAGAGCGTCCACACACAAAAGTGCATTGAAAAAGCGATCGGCTTTTTCAAAAGTTAGCGTCCACACAGAATGGATGCTATCTCACGTGTAAACTTTGATTACTATGGACAGAATGGCCACCAGCACACTTCTGCTTTTTTCTCTTTCCTATTCTTTCAAAAGAACTCCCTTTTCCCCATCCACACATGCCTTTTTCCAAAAGAGCTCTTTCGGAAAAAGGTTTCTTCCTCATAGAAAGAGGATTACCAACTCCAGAAAAACCCCTCTGTCCTTTTGATTTATTTTCAAAAGAATGCAATTGCAGTGAGGACATAACTCAGGTTTTGTTGGAAAACTGGCCGTTTTTTTAAATAAACTCTGTAGCAGGGTTTCCCAACCTATGGATTGAGACCCAAATATGGGTCGCCATTACATTTCAAAAGGGTCACCAAGTGTCTCCCCAGGTGGCTTGGCCCTCCGTCTTCCCCCTGTTTTTGAATTGCCTTGGATCACCAAGTCTTCCTGAATTGTCAAAATGGGACCCATCTGGAAAAGGTTGGGAACTGCTGCTCCTTAGGGTAGCCATATCCCTAGTGACTAGAACAATCATTTGGAAAGGGGGAAACACAAGTTCAATCTCCAGTCTACCTAGTTTGGTGGAAGGACTCAAAACAAGGTTTTTTACCTCCCAGGTGAGTACCTAACCACTAAGCTACAGGGTATTCTGGATTGTTGGTGCGCCTCTGTCCTATTGAAGCTTCTCCACTTTTCATGAATTACTTAAATAGTCAATAGGGACACAGAAAAAGAGAGAGGGTGGCTCTGTAGCCCAGTGGTTAGGGGAATACCCATTTTGTGACTCCCATAGAGGGTTAGGCATGATTTAGGTCCTGAGCAGCTCAGCAGAATCAAGAGGACTAAGATTTCTGCAAGGTCAGCAGTTTTTGACACAATGGGGACTCTGGACACTTATTGGTTTATGCAGAAGCTGCCCAATGGTTTTGTGAAGGCCAGTGGTGCTTAAACATTGGACTTAAGTACCCAAATCCCTCCTGTGAGTTGAGCCTCAGTACTATAAAATACAGAGAAATAAGATCCTAAGAGCCAAGGTAAACTTTCCAAAATCATCTCAGCTTTTGGGTATTTTAACAACCAAATTCAAATCAAAATCCTTTGTCTGCTCTCCCCAGGCCTAACTTGATCTCCAAGTCTAGGAAGGAGGAACAGCCTTCCCAAATAGCAGTGACCTTCCATATACAGTTTTGATGTTCAGACCTGAATACTAATGCTACGTCTATACTATGATCCTCTTCCGCAATAGGAAATGCAAATGGAGTGCTCATTTGCATACATTGTGCTCTCATTTGCATTTCCTCCCCTGATCCTTTTTGCACAAGAGGTTTTTGTGCAAAAAAGCGCTGTGTAGATGGCTCCTTTTTGTGCAAAAACCCCCTTCTGCAAAAGAGCCATTCGTTCTCATTTTTTGAGGAAGAACGGCTCTTGTGCAAAAGGGGGGTTTTGTGCAAAAAGGAGCCATCTACACAGCGCTTTTTTGCACAAAAATGTCTTGCGCAAAAGGGATCCGAGGAGAAAATGCAAGTGAGAGCGCGACATATCCAAATGAGCGCTCCATTTGCATTTCTTCTTGTGGAAGAGGATTGTAGTATAGACGTAGCCTACGTGTGTGCCATAGTTTCACAGCGTTTAGAGCCTATACAGTGTTGCAACAGTGCCAGTGCTGTGTCTCTAGTTTTGTCCACATTTCATTCCAAAAGTCTTTTTCCTCCGTTATTTTTCTCTCACCTGTGAAAGTTCCCATCTGAATGAGCTTGATGTACAGAGCACCAACCCAGGATGGGTATCTTATTTTTGAAAAATCAGGGATAGGGGTATGGCACAAATCTCACTGATTTTTAATAACAGGAGAAGCAATTGTTCATTTTTTCTCATACCTCTGATCTCAAAAATACCATTGCTTATCAAGCTAAACTTAGGCAGCCCAATAGTCTTTATTGTGGAAAAGTGCCCTTGTACTGAATATATCTGGAACACAATGTGAAACAAATAAGCTATTTTGTTCCTTTAGCACTGAAATTGTGTGTATATGGCTGGCAGCTGTTAAGTCCATATGGTCAAGAATACACAAAACCCATAAGGTAAATGTCCTCCAATATGAATTTGCACCACAGACTGTCATTGCTCTCCTGAAGGTGGTGATGACTTTTCAGAAGGATCATATGCATGTTTATAAGTATCCAAATAAGTTTAATGCAGTAGTCCATTGCTATGGCAAAGCACTGTTATGGTATGTTGGCATAATACCCCATGTGTAAATATCCTGGGTGAACAGAATGTACATACTTTCATGGGCCAAGTTCTGTCACCCCTTTTGGTTGCTTTGTGGACCAACCCCATTTGAAGATTCTCCCTTGCATGGAGGCATCTGAGAGGAGCATGAAGCCATCATAGATGCTCATGTGACACTGACATAACATAGGAGGCTTGGAGAACAGAGGTGTAGCAGTGGTGTCCCTTATGCATTGGTGAACTCCCTGAAGTCAGCCAGAACCCTCGCCTCCTCCCTCCCCACCTCCTGAGACTGTGGTGGCAGCCAATGCAAAATTGATGCAGCTTTGAGGCTTCTCCTGTCTGTGGCAGAGTGACTTAGCAGAAGCTGGCCAGCACTTATAACTGGGGATGAGGGAAATGTAAAAGTGGCTTTAAATGACCATTGTCCTCTTGCTCCCTCATAGGAGCGCATAGATGGAATCAAGCATCTGAATTCAATTCTTTCATATAATTCTATTAGAAGACTTATCCTAGGTTGCTTGGGGCTGGTGGTAGGGAGGGTGCAAGAGTCAGGGCTTTGGGAGGAGGGAGCGCTTGGGATAAGGGATGGATGGTTCAGTGCAGGAGGTGGGGGGTGGCCACCAGCTTCCCTCTGGGGCCAGCCTTGGGCTGCAGCCCCTGCCACTGCCTGGGCTGCGCACCCTGGCTGCCAGTTTTTCCCTGGGTCTAGCCAAAGGGGGAGGCCCCATTCACCAGCCATCGGCTTCTCTCTGGGGCTGGCCTGAATCCAGGCAAGGCCACACACCCTGGCCCTGGTTTCACTTTGGGGCCACATACCCTGGCCACCAGCTTCTCCCCAGGTGCTGCTGGCTAGCAGTTGGGGGTTCTTGCTGCCCCTTGTGGTCATTTTTCTCTTGTGCTTACTGCCCCTCCTTGTGGTCATGATTGAGTATAACTGTCCCTGCTCCCACACCCCTCTCTTTCTGGTTGATATGAAACAATCACATTCCACGCACATCCCAAACCCTGGCCTTGCTTTAAAGCATGATAAGAGGAAGCTGCATATCAAATATGGTGGTCTTGGCTCTTACCATTTCGGAGTTGTTCTTGAATAAACCGACTCACAGATGGATGGACAGACGCACGTTTCTAAAATATACAGATAGGGCTACTGTTATTGTGTGAGTAACTTGAAAGATTGGCCACAAAGTGATAATGGTAAGGAAAATTGGAAGGAAAGTTCCATCACAGGCTTAATTTGGCCTTAGAAATCAGAGTGTGATATGACATCTATATATAAAAGCATGAGGTAGCAATTAAAATTTAGGGGTTCAAATTCACCTTGCACATATCTTATCACTATTATTTTTAAATTGGTCTAATATCTGTCTAGGGCACCCAACACTGCAGAATATAAGATGCACAGCCTTGCAACAATTTTTCAAGTGCCATACACTGGGAAATGTTAAATGTTTGCAGTCTCATGTATTTTTGTGTGTGTTTCCCATGTCATGCAATGTAATGTGACAACATGGTCTTATGAAATAGATGTATTATATCAGAAATTACAAGAGCTGACCAGGCTGGATGGATAGAGGGTTACTATAGAAACTTTTGCTCTCTGGAGATTTGGAATCACATCCTTAATAAGTTTGGTTGCCTTATCTGTGTCCCTAGTGGATACTTATCCACATCACGAAACCACTACACAATCTGGCATGATTGATAGTCCGTGCTCAGGAGATGCCTAGAAATAGCTTAGTAGGAATGCAAACTGAGCTGCCTAGCTTGGGAAGAGAGAAGTACGTGCCAGCACTATGCTTCGCTCTAGGCAGAGAGTGCTTTTAGCCCCACATTTCTCTTGGTGCCAGCCTCACCCCTAAGAAATAAGGTGAAACTCTCAGTAAAATCCCCACAGGCCCATGAAAGCTCTTGACACAGAGTTTAAGTGCTGTAGGTGACCCTATGCACCATGGGGATTTTACCTTCTAGCAGAAAAGGCATGCCTACATGGGCCCAATAGGTTGGGGTGAATTCCACCTGTGTAGCTGTTCCCTTTGTTTCATTAGCAATACAGTGCTGTAGGGGAGAGGTCTGTGTTCAGTGCTCTGTATCATAGACCGAGGCCTAGAGTCTGACAGCTGATAGAATCACTGAGGACTCAGAAACACAAACTGAGTCCAGACTAAGTCCCCCCTGAAATCTGATCTTTTTTCTCAAGTTCCACTTGTCATACCAGTGGGGCTGACAAATGCCAGGACCCTGAGCTAGGGAGGGGTGGGACTTAGCAGCCCCAGAAGGGGCAGGCCTTGGGTGGAAGGGGTGTGACTGTGAGCGCAGGCCATTTTGAATCACCAAGCCCTGGGGTAGTTGCCTCCAGTGTCTCCCCGTCGGAGGGCCTGCATCATACTATAACTCTTACTGATCCCTTAATTTAAGGGGCTTCTTCATTTTCATCTTCATTTTAGCCCAAAGTTACTGTTATTTCACAGAGGCATGGTGCCTATCTATGACTGTTAAAAATAACTTACATGAGAAATGCAAGGTCGTAACACGGATTAGAGAAAGTCATGAAGGCTCAAGACATGAGTGCCACAGCATTTTATATTTCCTGCATGATTCATTTTTGTGCCCCGCATTCCTGGCCTTTGTCTCATTATGCCCACATTTAGGCCTTGGGAGCTTGAAAGGTTATGTAGCTAGTATATTTTTTAGCTGGATGTTGGGGTACAGTGAGTCTTGGAAGTTTGTAAGCCAATGTCTCTGGATAGCAAGTGGAATGTAGCCTGCCCTTGAGACTCCTGTACTTTTCAGCTTCTCTGCATGAAAAGAAACACTATTTAGAATCCCCGACACTGCAGCATTAGATTAAATCAGTCTCAGCCCATTACTTTAAATAATCAATACCCATAAGTGCCATGATGCTGTCTCTTGCTTCACTGTGAAAGCTGACTAGTTAGTGGAGTAAACACATAACGATAGTTTTCATAGATTAATTTTAGGAAAATTAAGCATTCAGTGTTATGATACTTTGTTCTCTCAGCACCTCCCAGCACAAATACAGACTGGGTCAAAGATCAGAGAGTGAATAAAGCAAATTTTTACCAAAGATTTTCACTGTCACTTTTACGATAAACCCGGGAAGCCTTATATATCTATTCCACATGCCACAGCTGTCTCACTGGTATGTGCATAATGTTCCCTCACACTCTGTAGTGATCATCTCAGATACCACCTCCTAGCACAGAGACACGCAGCTGTGTTTGCAGAGTAACTGAAAGTTTCTATTCATTGCTCAGGGTCAAGCAAATCCTAAAGACAAGTCAAATAATCTGCAATACAAACCCAAAGCCAGACCCTTGCTTCTGATCTAATCTACCTCACGTTCCATCAGACTGTCAGGCTACACATAATAGTGCCAAACATTATCATTTTTTGAGGTTTACCGGATCTTTAGAAAAAGCACCCCATTTTCAAAATAACCACATCTAGACTGCGGTTTCAATTTCAAAATAGTGCTTTTTTGAAAGAGCGCCATTACGTCATTATGCAAATGAAGCACGGGATATTTAAATCCAGGCTTCATTTGCACTTTCGAAGTGCATCCCTCTGCCGACAGAGGGATGTAGTCTAAACATAGCCTTAGAGAGCTACTGTAGTGCAACAAAAATAATTGCTCAACGGTCTTATTGCAACAGCTCGGAGCTCTGTGCAGTGGGGTGATGGTCATGAGGTACTAGCCTGAAGCCTGCTCACAGACTAATGAATGTTATAATCAATTGTTATTGGTGCCAGGCAAAATGTTTCTGTTATCAAACAGATGTTATCTGATTGTTGTTAAATGCCACCTACTGTACTTTAAATTCACTGATGTCCGCTTCACTCCCAAGAATTCACATAATTAACAGCACCATTGACAGAAGAAGAACATTTCCTAAAAAGCTCTCAGGGACCAATAAATCCAGTATAGGTATTTAATTTTACAACTTCTTATGGGGGTTCTGAGTATTATGGAGGGGAGGAATCTCTCAATATGGCTCTTATTCAGACAATCGCATGCTAGGGAGGAGACTACCACCAGCAAAAAGTGCCCCTAGAACAAGCACTATATATTAGCAAAGGTATGGGAAGAAAGATGGGGCTCTACTCCACAAACATCTTTGAATCCTGAGAGCCCTCATCTGTTTTGTACAAGAAGTGGTTATTCAAGTGAAACACAGCACTCTTAGAGACGTCTTCTAAGCCAGAGAACCCACTTGAGACGCCTTTCCATGCCTGGTATCAAGATGTCTCTTGGGCGGTTATGAAGCAAAATGCACTTCCAGTTTACAAGTGCTAAAAAGACCTTGTAGCAGAGGATAGTTGTGATTGTATCTTATTGACTGAGAGCCACCCTGAGCTCTATGACGGTGCTATATTTTTTTCCATAGACAGAGGATTCAAAACAAAAAACACCGGATCTAATCATCTTCCTGGCAGGGGCATAGCTGTGTGTGGGCTGAGTGGGAGATAGCCTACCCACTTTGTATCCAGTCTTCCCGGCCAGCTCTCCTCATGCCCCAGCTCTTGCACTGCTCCTCCAGCCTGCTCTGGGCTCCAACTGAGGAGCAGGATCAACATGTCGGAGCTTACCCCACTCTGCCAGGCACTCCAGCCAGCGAGCAGCGATCGCCCCACTCCATCTGCCCACTAAGCTCTCCAGCTAGGGCATGGAAGGAGCAGGGATAGAACCCATGTTTGGACCCCACTCCTGGGCTACAATGCTGGGCAGGTGTGCAGAAAAGGGCAAGCCCCTGTTCATGAACCTTGCTCATGAACACCCCAGGGCGTCCACATACACACCCCCCCAGCTGGTTGGGGGCAGGCAGCCTAATATCTCCTGCCCCAACCCTTCTTTCCCTCCGTACCTCATTATTACCCACCTACCTGTCCCCTTTTAGCTATGCCACTGCTTCATAGTCTATGGACAGCTCTCCATTAGAAGGAATATAGATTTTACTTCCCTGCTTCTCCTTGTACTCTCAATTCACTGTAGTTGTAGAGTCTGGAACAATCATATAGCTACTGTAGAAAAAATGAATAGTCTTGCAGTACCTTAAAGACTAAAAAAACATGCAGATGGTATCGCAGATGAGGGCACAACCACTAAAGTGCAGGAAAAAAAACCCCATTGTTCAAAGTTCCAACTGCAACAGCTTAGAGCTCTGTGCAATGGGAAGATGTTCATGAGACACTGGCCTGAAGACTGCAGTAAGCAGAACTATCCATGACCTCCCAAGCTATGCAAGCTGCACAATGTCACAAAGCCTGGTTCTGCAAAAAGCCAGCGTGCTGTGGAACCCTCAGGATCAAAAAGCTGTGTGTGGAAGTCCTGGGACTGACCAGGAAGTATAGAATTCACAGAGATGAACTCTCCTCTTTCCATTTACTAAGTATGGAATGTAAATAGAATCTAAGATAAATAGAATAATATACCAGCATATGAACAAGAAACCCATGTGTTTATTTTAAGAAGGCTGCTGCCATAAATTAACAGTCCAAGTACTAGGCAAAGCCTGTACTTTGGCAAAGCCTGTTCGTACTAGGCAAAGCCATGAAGATTGCCAATACACAGCAATCAGCATGCCAGAAGTCTCAATTCAGATCACATCCATATGTGTATAGCAAATAGGATTTTCTTCCTTTCTAGACAGCAGGGCTGCGTCTAGACTACATCCCTGTTTCAGAAAAGGGATGTAAATTAGACGTATTGCAATTGCTAATGAAGCGAGGATTTAAATCTCCCCCACTTCATTAGCATAAAAATGGCTGCTGCTTTTTTTCCGCACGGAGCTTTGTCGGAAAAAAGCGCCAGTCTAGACGCTGATCTTGCGGAAAATAAAGCCTTGTCCGAAAGATCCCTTATCCCTTAAGGGATCTTTTGGAAAAGGCTTTATTTTCCGCAAGATCAGAGTCTAGACTGGTGCTTTTTTCTGACAAAGCTCCGTGTGGAAAAAAAGCGGCAGCCATTTTTATGCTAATGAAGTGGGGGAGATTTAAATCCTCGCTTCATTAGCAATTGCAATACGTCTAATTTACATCCCTTTTCTGAAACAGGGATGTAGTCTAGACGTAGTCCAGGACTTTGGGTGGATAGAATGCTTGGGAAG